CCCCAAAACCCCAAAACCCCAAAACCCCAAAACCCCAAAACCCCAAAACCCCAAGGTATAAATTTGCTAATGAATAGAAGTAGAAGTAATTACCTCAAGACGCCATACTCTAGGTGCTTTCCATAGAGCTCATACATCTCTTTCTTCTTGATTTCCTTCGCTTCCTTAGCTTTGTGTGAATAAGAACTCTTCATGCTCTTCTTTAAGTCATAGTATGTCTTCTGGGGCTGGCCATCTAGCCTAAACTTGGAGGATGCTCCATCAAGGTAACGTTTAATTTCTCAAAATGGCTTCTTATTAATCTGTGGGTTAAAACTGCATTCAGAGGTTTCCTTTCTCTTAGACTTCTTTCTCTCCTTCTTAATATTTTTATCTCTGTGTCTGATCCATATCTCATTGCGAGCAATTTGGGGGATCTGCTTCCAGAGACCGGCTTTTGAAAGTTTCTCAATATTGAGTTTACCCTTCAAAGTTTCATATTCCTTCAAAGCACTGATTCATGCAGCTGAGTCTGTACAATTCTGGAAGGGGCCATTAGATGGACCCACGAAGCTCTTGGTCCTTCTGCTGCTTCTTTGTTTGTTACTGCCTTTGCGTTTCTTTTTGCTCTGACTCGCTCTTTTCTTCTGATTTTTATCATAATATGTGTCACTTAAGGTCTTGTTCACAGAATTATTTTCTATTGGAATCAAATCTGGTCATTTTCCCAAAATCACTCATCCCTCTAGACCGCCTTGACTGGATTGTGTTGAGATAGAACGGATGTGCCCTGGGAGACTCTGGCATTGTCTTCCTACCTCATATGGTGGAAGGATCATTGTATACATCTACAGTAACATTATTTCTGGTATAGACTTTGTTCAGCGGAGATCTAGGAGCTGTTTTAATAGATGCATGCTTATATACTGATGATGAATCATCTCTAATCAATTTTTCTCTGCTATTTACTACAGATGAGCAAGTTTATCCTTACTACCGCCTATTTGATTCATCAAAATAAAATCTATCATTTAATACAGGCCGAGTCTCTGAGATTATTGCTGACTCTGTTTGATTTCAGGGCTCCTTATCCATAGTGGCAGTAGTTGTATCTAAATTATTGCTCTAGAATTATTAGACACTAACTAAACCTGTGAATTATATTCCTTATCAGCTACAATCGATTTTCGCTGAAAAGAACACTTATAGCTGGTCTTTACTACTCTCAAATCTATATTTGCCTTATTTTTGGCCTTCCTTGTAGTCTTTGCATAGGTATTTTCTCTATAGAACCAAATTGAACCTTTATTGATCGTTATTGGTTAATCTGCAAAAATTACTTTTGGAGACTGGTCATTTTCCTAACCCTCTTTTGCTGAGATCTTTCTCTACCTATAATAAATTCCAATAAGTAAAAAGACAATAAATCAGTAAAAGAGACGCGGTGGGTACTTACTTTCTCTCAAATATTTCTCCTTTTCTGGGTGTCTGACACCTCAATTCTCAAGACTTCGGAAAATTTTCTCATCGTTTCTAATATAAGAACTTTCTCTATGAGAGCTCATCACTCTTGTGTGGACATTGGACTTCTAGATTTATATGTTAGATTTGAGGCAAAACCTTTACCATTTACAAAACTTTTTCCTCAACGGTTTAAATTTTATTATTCAGTTTCCTAACGAATCATAGGGGTTTTGGGGTTTTGGGGTTTTGGGGTTTTGGGG